TTCTTTGTCAATGACGTCTTTGTAAAAAAATAATTATTTTTGTTGTTTCTATGAAACCACTAATGACATCTCTGTAAACTCCACAAATTATAGATGATTTTTCACTTAATATTTTCTTCAAATATACTCATTTAAGTGTCACGAGTTTAATTATTAATTTTCTTTTTTTACAAATATACACATAAATCCCTTTCAAATATTTAAAAAACCACGGGTCAATCCTCGTTCAAGTTTCACACTCATGACAGTCCCTAAAGCAAACTATAAAGTGCACTTAGCTCCCTAGTGATAGGTAAATTGACGAAAATATCCTTCACTTTAATTTGAAATTACATATATTGTCGGACACCACTTTTTCTATCTATTCTTTTATTTCCTCACTCTTCTACTTTTCTTTCCTCTCTCTTTCATCTTCTCTCTTGTTCATTTCTCTTTCACCGACAATGAAAATTCACAGAAAAAAACATAATAGCTACACTACTTTATGTTACAATTTATTTTTTGAAAGAGAAGAAAATGAAGAAATAGACCCAATCAATTATAACAACGCTACAGAATGTCATAAATTCAAGCAAATAAATTAGTTGAAGATCATTATGTGACATAAGAAAGCGTCACAAGAAAAGTATTTCAAGATACTCGTGAGCGTAGTAATACGGTGAATTTTGGGATGACACAAAAGCCATCATAATAACATATTACCACGACCATCTATGTGAAACTTTAACCAGGCGTCACAATAGCCCCGTTTTTTGTGACAAATTACAATGTCACAAAAAGTAGTTTTTCTAGTACCGGTACCAAATATTGTTGTTTTACTTGCTTAAGCTTGTAAAACATATTTATGTATTGTCGAATTGCATGATTTTGAAAATTTCTGCTCGGGAGTATTATGCATCGGTGACATTTAACCAAGAAGCATGTTCCATTAATATATGTTGTTGGTTGTTTAACTTTGCAAAAATGGTCAATTTGTTGTCGGATTGCATAATTTTAAACATTTTCACTTGTGGATATTATTTATTGGCGATATTTTTATTTACCCAAAGCATTTGTAGTCCTAATAATTTCCTTGATATTTGATTTTATTGGATTTAATATAGGATTCAGAAAAAGGCTAATCTTACTGTTCTTTACAACATTTTTTATATTTTCTATAACAGACTAAAGTATATGCCATAGTAACAACATTGTTATTGTGGTTGGATTGTGTTGAAAAGAGAAATGAAAGTAACTACATAGTACATTGTATTCTTTACATATATAGGCATCAATGGTGATACGAACCCCGTAGAACTCGTTACGAGACCCAATACCCTACGCGGAAGCAAGATCGAAGACATCCAAAAACAAAGATTCAAGTTTGGCGGAAGCAAGGAACAATGACCCCATAGCTATAAAGAGCTAGAAACCATTATTATCAAGGTGAAATATAATATTGACCCCGTGGTTATAGAGAACCAGAAACCAATACTATGGCGCTAAGAAAGTTACAAGAATCCACTTGTAAAATCCCGAAGGTTGCTGTAGAACAGCGAAGGAGAATTAACTCTCAAAATACTCAAATATTCTTTAAAATTCGTCTCCAAAATAAGCCAAATTGGCGACCTATTTATAAGATCTAAAAAGACTCCTTTTTCACAAGGAAAATGACTCCTACCTAAACTATAATAAGGAAATAAATAAATAAGCAAATCCTAACCATTAAGGACTCTAAAATACCAAAATAAAATAATAAAACCTAAATTAAAAACGTGCATAAATAAATTAAATAACTTGATCTTCAAGTCGGCTTCTCGATCACCCTTCTAATCTCGCGACATTGGGCTGTGCACGTGCATGCAATTAAAGCTCAATTTCGACACTGTTCCACTTCGAATATCTCTTTGCTCAAAACATGAAAGTTGTAGATCTTTCAGTTAGCTTTCCGAATCATTTTGAATCAGCTCAATTGAACTTCGGATGCGAGAGTTATAACTCGAAAGGTAAACTCTGCCAGAATAGGCGAGAATCTCGGATGCATGGAATTCGACTTGTCCAACGACTTCTTCTCTTTCTTTTTTTTCCAATTCCAAACCACGGACTCTTCAATGGTCTTATTCAACCCTTTACTCTCCAAGGAAAGCTCGAATAATGTCTATAAACTCGTACGCTTTCGCGTCTTCCAATTCTTCGTCATGGAGCATCTCTGGATCGTATCAAATGGGTTCTAGGATTATTCAGAGACTATTCTAAAGGAAGGGAATTGGCAAGACCGGCTGCAACAAGGTTTGCAACTTCTTTTCTTACTTTAAGCTGCAACTTGAATCAAAAAAGTTCTCTTAAGTTCATGTTCGTTTCGAAAGAATGGACTTCCAGTTCTTATGCTCGTAAGCATGATGGTAAAGAAGTAGTGGACCTTGTATTGTGCAATGCCAAATTTTGGAGTTCTATCAAATATTGTTTGCGATGTGTGATTCCAATTGTTAAAGTATTGAGACTTGTAGATGATGACTCAAAACAAGCAATGCCATATATTTATGAAGCAATGGATAGAGCCAAATATCGAATAGCTCACATAATGTGGAGTCGAGGTATAAGAAGATATGGGAAATAATTGATCTCCGTTGGAACCAGCAACTTCATATACCACTTCATGCGGCGGCATATTATCTTAATCTTAAGTAATAATTTTTTTATATTTATTTTTGTTAAATTTGAATATATTTTTATTAGGTGTCATTATGTTGAGGGGTTCGAGCCAAATAGTGACGTCATATATGGTTTGCATAAATCCATTGAGATGATGATTGTGGATGATACTAGGACAAGAATTTTGATTTCACAACTTGAAAAATTCAAAAGAGCTCACGGGCTATTTGGATAAAAAAATGGCTAAGGAAACTAGGGACAAAAAACAGCCTCGTATTTTTCTCTTATGGTTTTACTTTTAAGAATTGTAGCTTTTTAATTAAATATTACTATATACTTACTAAATATATTTAATGTGGTAATTATATTTTATGTTAATTTTTATTTTATTAGCTCTTTGGTGGGAAATTTATGGTGGAGAAATAAAGGAATTGCAAAAGATTGCTATGAGAATTTTGAGTTTCACATGTAGTGCTACCGGATGTGAGAGGAATTGGAGTACATTTGAACAAGTGCATACAAAAAGAAGAAACCGCGTGGAGCAACAAAGACTTAATACACTTGTCTATGTTAAGTACAATCTCCAACTTGATGCGCGGCAAAAAATTCGAGAAGAGAAGGGAGAAGCTTACACTACAAGAAAAAATGGTTTTAGGGACGATTTGTTATGGTTGCTAAAAGCAAGATAATGGTCGCTGAAACTTATAACGACCAAATTAGGCTTGGTCACTTGTGGTCACAACAGGGTGGCTACTAAAAGTATTAGTGACCAGCAAATCAGTTGGACGCTAAAGACATAGATCTAGCGACCATTCAATAATGGTTATTAAAGATGTAATTATCAGCGACAAATTTTTTACTCGCTAATGTTAAAATTTATGGTCGCTATAATATTAATATGGTTGCTATAGGTATACATACAGTAACCACATATTTTTGGTTGATAAATGATATTCTTTTAACAACCGAGTACGTGGTTACAATAGATTTTATATGGTCACAAGCGTAACGTATTTTAGTGACCACGTTGCGACCAATAAATTCGTTGCTCAATATAATAATTTAACTACAAGAATAGTTGGTTGCAATAAATTTTAATTTGTCACAAATATACCCCAATTGTTTGCATATAATAACCAAAAATAACAATTAATAATTCTTATTTGCAAAACAATCAAATAATGAACGAAAAACAATTGTTTATTGCTACTAATGACAAAAACCAAATAATAATTGTGAGGAAAAAAAATTGAATTGATAGCTGGTTACTACATATTAGCACCTAACTAATTAATTGTTGACAAGTGAATTAAATCAGTGATCAATCTATATCCAGTAGCAACCAAAGAAACTAAACACTGCCTCGCCGATTAAATTGAACTTAAAACCGCTGACAACATTCACATCTGGAACTTGATTGAAGTAATATCATTAGCTTCAACTGCCTCTGCCTCTCTACGGGTGCCTGAAATTGGGTGCCTGGAATTGGATGCCACAGAGAATCAGAAGATATACATGCAATTGTTTTCCAAATGTAGTGATCATATAAGCAACAAAAGCAACAAGGAAAATCTTATGTAATGAATTGATTTACCTTATCAGTAGAGCCACCAACTAAACTTTAGCCTCAACTGCAAATTTGGCATTTATAAGTTATAACCTACATAAGAGATGAAAACAGGGATTCAAGTTTATGAGAAACCAAGTCCAATGAATTTATCATAAGGAAACATGAAACCAAGAGTTGACTCGTGTTTGTTTGACGAGTTCTCGAAACAAAGGTTTAAAACATTTGTTTCCAGAATTTCTTTGAAAAATCATAACAATTGGTACGATTATCCAAATTGGGAACGTAATATGCCAAATGAAAGCTAACAACTGCACCTACATGTTCACTGAAGACTCTCATCACAAATTATGATCCTAGCATATTCAAAACAGGCCCAAAAGATGATTACAGAAAACTGCCAGAATTTCGGATAAATTCTTTTCTGGTATAGTTTATTGTAAAATTCATAACTATTTGTAAAGTTATCCAAATTTGCCAAACAATTTACCAAATCAAAGCTGACAACTTCATCTAAAAGTTTACGAAAGAAATATATCCCAAATTATTATCCTAAGACGGTAATAAAACCCAACGGAGATGATTCATCAAAACTGCCCTTTTTTTGGCAGACTCACTGCCGTCAAATTCTCATCTCTAAAAGGCTATAAAACTTGCTCGAATTAGAAGCAATTTAACACTTACATATAATAATCACGGTCCTCGACGAGTTTTGTGAAGAGACTGATTCGAAAATCTCACTCCAAACCCTTCGATTTCGACTCCGAAAACAGGTGCGGCAGAAGGTTTACTATTTCTCATATTCGCCAACATAGCTGTCGGGTTAAATTTGGTTATATAACTTGAAGAAATAACTAACAAAGTCTTTCTCAAATAACAAAGTCTTCTCACCTCGAGTTAGCACCAAAAGCAACATCATAGACCAAAATTTTCTTAGGTACACAACCACGAATGACACACCTGAAATAAGAATCCATTAGTTTCTTAAACTTCACCTTCGATCACATTACTTTAAACTTGTTGCTCAATGTGCATAAGACAAATTTCAAATAACTAATGACTCAAATAACTAATGACACATATAGATGCTAACTATGGACAGTAAACTAGAAGCCAACGATATTTGTTGTCACATTTTCTTCCAAAAATCGTAGCAGGCCGTACGCTTATCCAAATTGGGAAAACAATATACCAAATAAAAGTTCACAACTTTATCTACAATTGTGATGAAGATACCAACCCCTAATTACTAAGATAACACAACAATAACAGCCCATAAAGTTGAATACATGAAACTGCCAGAATTGTTTTGGACAAACTTGTTTGCTGTCACAGTTTATTAGAATAATCATAACAATTTGTAGAGTTATCCAAATCGACCAAATAATATACCAAATCAAACCTCACAACTCAATATACAAAACACCAGAAGACACATAGCCTAAATTATTATTCCAACATAACAAAAACAGCTCCGCATGATGATTAGGCAAAACTGCCCTGTTTTTTGACAGATTCGTTGTCGTCTGATTCCGACCCCTAAAAGGCTATAACACGTGCTCAAATCGGAAATAATTAAACACTTACTCACAGTTTTCGAGGTCCTCTACGAGTTTCGAGATGGAATGATTCCCAAATTCACACTCCAAACCCTTCGATTTTGGCTCCGAAAACAGATGTCGTAGCAGATTTTATTTCCCTTTCCGGTGAGCATGCTGAATTTCACACCAAATTTCGGCGACCACCGTCGAATAAAACTGCCTAGCACCACCATTAATGGGAAGCTAACTTCTCGAGGTTTGTAACAGTACCTTCTATCATCAATACTCCACCGTTAACACCTCCGTTCATTTAATTCTTTGAAGAGCCAAAAATTGAACACCAGATAACGGCCACCATCGGCGACCTCTGCCGGAAATCACCAACACCGGTGTACATCTGAACCCACAATTATTCCAAAGGTGGGTCCTGATCGACGAGATTCATTCTCGAAGGTCTCCAAACTATTATTTTTCCTTAAAACCCAAATCTGAAATTATCTTTTCAAATCCCAATTCTTTTCCTGTAATCAAATCTTCCGAATCTCCTGAATGAATTCGAGAATTCTCGAACAGGGGTAGGAACTAGGGCTTGGAGAAATTGGGTGAAATAGGCGAATACTTTTGGGGAAAACAAAAGAGGTAAGATAAGAGGGATTTTGGTGCAAACATAATGAAGAAATTAGGAGATAATTTTTTCTTGATTTTCTGTAATATTATGCGAGAATGGGTAGAGGGAGAAAGAGAGCGTAAGGAGAGAATGAACGGAGTAATATTCTGTGATGAAGAAACGAAAGAATTATAAATGGCTGTATTTTTTTTATTATTTGCATTTTCGCCCCCATCTTTATTTTATTTTCTTTTCTTTCATTGATTTGTTTAAAAACTAAACTAGTGACCAAATTCATTTGATTTCCGTAAGTAGTTTCCTAGTAACCAAATTCAAGTAGTTGCTAGCAACCCAATTAAATGGTTGTTAATAATTAAATTAAAGACTCGTAGCAACCGTAAAAAAAAATTGATGTTAACTTGGTCGCTATTGACACTAAGTTATAGTGACCATAAAAATTGTCGCTACAAACTTTAACTTTAGTTGCTACAAGATGTCCAACTATTAGTGACCACATATAGCTACCAAATGCTCGCTGGTCGCAAAAAGATTTAACCCTTCCCACTTTTGCTACAAAATTACTTTTGGTCACTAAATGTGAACATTCAATGACCATTTATTTATGGTCGCTAAGAATTTGGTCGCTGAAACTAGTTTTTCTTGTAGTGTTATGATCCAATATGCTTATCGGATATTGAATTTGATGACGAGTGGACCAAAAAAGAGGACCTTGCTTACCTGAAGATAGTTCATGGATGGATGTACATGAAGATTTTACCTTTAGTGAAGGAGCTCCAAGCTCAAAACGGAAAAGAGGTATATTATGTATTTTTTTTTTGTTTAAAAATAGCTAGTTTTTTTTTTGTTTTTTTTTTCTTCTGTAAAAAGTAAGTGATGGTTTGAAAGTAGTGAACAACTGTCTGCCAATTTTAAATAGAGGAGGGGCCTGAAAAAAATATTGAGGTAAATGATTGTAGATCTTTAGTGTGCCTGAATATTTCTCCATCAAAAAAAATAGTGTGCCTGAATATTTTTACCATGTTTATTGAGTTGTTTGAGTATGTGGATTTGCTGCTTGTTCTACTTGGAATCAAAGTTATGATGATTTTTTATTGTGATCCAATGAT